TCAATCAAGAATTTGATTTTATATTTTAATTCTATTCTAAATTCAAATACAGGATGCGCTGCACCTTGTATTCGCATTAGAGATGATCCTACATGGAAAAAAGAACTAAACATTTGGTATAAAAATTTTTCCTGAAAGAGGCTTTCATTTGCAGGGAAATCAGTTTGAAAATTCATGAAATATCATAAATATGTCGGAGAACAGTTATTTAATTTCAATATTGGAAAAATATTACGTAGTTGAAATAAAAAAAAGTTGTGCAATAATTTGATAAGTTAAAAAATGAAAATTACACATGCAGCAACAGTACTTGTAACATTTTGCAAAAACCTGTCATTTTAATTACATTCGTCTGTTTTCAACGAACAGAAAAAAATCAAGTGGTGCGATAGTCAAGTTGTATATCTCGCGAATTTTCAAACTCAATTTTTTCACAAACAAAGCCTCGAAAGAAAAAAGTTTTTATATATTAAATTTTTTGTTTATTTCTTCATGTAAACTTCCCTTCGTTCCAACTTTACTTATGGCCTTATGCTCTGTATAAAATGATATCCTTCAATTTCAACGACATCGTTTTGAAAAATTGTAATTATTAGCATACTTAAATCAGACTTAATAAATTTATTGAAAAAGAAATATTCTTCACGATTCATGAAATGTTGCAAGTTAACCAACTTTTAAGTTAAACAAGTAATCAAGTATAAACCATAATATAGATATATTATATATTGCTATTAAACTGTATTTCTACTATTAAACAGTAGTAGAAAAATTTGAAAATTTTTGTTTGATACATTTATTTGTTTTATACAATTATCATGTTAATTCTACTTATGTTCAAATCTTAATATTAATCATATGATAAAAAATGGTTCATGGAGAGTTAATCTTTGCAAGATGAGAATTTTTTACGTTACATATATGTTGCCTGTGTCTTTAAAATAATATATGTGATCATATTATATATTTACATATGATGTTGTTGTATTGAAATTGTCCCTTAATATAAATATAAATATATATTTCTCAAGCAGAAAGGAGAATTTCAACAACGACAACAATCTTTTGAAAAAAGCATGTGACTTTCTAAATTTATTATCTTTCAAGTTCAAGTTCAAAGTTTCTGATAATTATTTCATCTCGATATTTGTTATTCATTGTTTAAAAATGCCGCCAAGAAACAATGAAGGATTACACATGCTAGAAAAGTAAACAAGTATTGCGAGGAGAAAGGATATGAATCATGTTTTGTGAAAAGATTTGAATGAACGAAAGGTGAGGAAGAAAAAAAAATAAATAATAATAATTACTTAGAAATAAAGTAGGAATAAAAAAAAAAAGAATTCTTATGTGAATAATGTTACCGAAGGTCACCCACCCACTATGTTAGTCTTGTCTATATCGTTGTTCAGTTACATAACGCATACGAGGAAACAATATTTAATATAATCAGTTTAATTAATATTGTATTTCTATGAATTACATTAAAAACAATGAATCATTGCAAACGAGTCTTTTAACATGCCCTTTTAGAGAAGATTAATAGAAACAATTAAAACAGACTCGTTAATCTACCACATAGTTCATAGAATTGGAACATTCACTACAAGCTATGTTATTTTTAAGTATCTTATTATCTTTTATTCCTCAAGTTTACATTTCCAATGTTGAAGGACAATTTTTACTCTCCCTTTTATTTCAAGTATAGATATTGTTCATTACATAATCTGTCGCGAGATATTTTTTTTAGTATTATGTCTTTTTTAAATTATTAAAAAAGTTTAAAATATTATTCGTGTTCTCATTTTTTATAATTCTTGTAGATCAGTGCTGACGAGAAACTTAAATAAAAAAAAAAAAGAAAACGGAGATTTTATGTAAAGTGAAACGTATGTAAATATAGAAAAGAAAAAAAAGAAAATGGAATCGATTAAATCAAAGTTATTATTATTACAAATATGGATGGATAGATGATGGGAGGAATTTTGATTAGTTCTTGTAAAAGGAAGCCTTCAATCTTCGAGTTCACGATGGATTCAGATTATGAAAAAATTTTTTTTAACATACATTTTGTTACACTTTCACTCGCCTAATACATGCTGTAAAAATATCTTACAATTAGAATAAAATGAACGCGTTTTAAAAGTAATGGCTTTCAAGTTTCAAAACGAGCACAGATTGGTTGTCGTGAGATTTCTTTTTTACGAAAACTGTTTGAATATTGACAGTTTTTCGAACACTTTCATGAGCGACATATTCAAGTGATTATTGCGGATATAGTTACTGGCTTTTATCCACGCTGATACGGATGTTTCCAATTTCACCAATCCAGATTCTCTTGTCGCGTATACCGACTTGTAAGACCACTTATAACTTCCATCAGAAATATATATATTTTTTTACGATGTTAGAATCACATGTGTGTATATAAAGGGTAATAATTATGCCACAGAAATATTTATGGGAAATGGATGATTTTCTATGGGAAAAAATAAATCGAAAGAAATCAAATTTTGTGATCTGAAGCTTTGTTTTGAATTTAAAGTCTTTATATAGAATATTAAATTTTGGAAGAAAGTTGAATTTAAAGTCTTTATATAGAATATTAAATTAGTTTTAATAACATGAATGTTACTTAAAATGCTACTCCTTGTGCTGCGTGCACATTTGTCTTTAAATTAAATTACCACATACTTTGAAGTATACTGCGTTTTTCCATTATTCAAGAACTAAATTCTCAGTTTCAGTTGCTCCAAGAGAAAAAAATGTAACATACAAACAGTTTTATTGCACATATTCAAGAATAATAAAGAAGTCTTCCTCTTTCCATTTTTCAATCCTTTGAAAATGCAATATGTTGTCTTATTTCTCAGTTTTTTTCCATCTCGAAACTACTCCTTTGCCTTTTGTAATTGAAAAATATTCCTTATATTTGAACTTTTACAAAACTTCAGTCACACCTTTAAACTTAATAAGTCTTTTTCACTTTTGATAATTTTGCAATTATAATGAAATATTTAATCATAATGTAATATAAAAATCGAAAAGTAAAAAAAAAGAAAAAGAAAATGTAATAAATTCAATTTATTGTATGATCTTCAGATATAGAACAATGAGTTGTCATCAAGGTATTGCAAAATATGAGAGAATATTTATAGATTAGATTGTAGGCATTGATGGAGCATACAAGAAAATACTATTTAAAGTATTTATTTTTCAACAATAGTAATTAAATAATTTCATTTAATTGTATCAAAAAGTGGTAATTTATATAATGACTTTTCTCTGCATCTTGTTCATTTGTTCATTTCATCTCAAAGATAATATGCAGTATAGTTTTTTTTTTCTTTTCATTTCTACACTGCATTGCCCAGGTGTATTTTGTCCACAAAATACATAATGATTGCCGCGCGAATAGGTTAAGTGACGCTATAATTAACTATCTGATCTATATACATGTAGCACAAAGCTTAAACTTTAGCAAAGAGACAAATGCATCGCCTCAATCAGCTTCGTTTCACAAATCGATGCCAATCGACGTGAGTTGATAAATTAAATCATAATTGTAATCGTAAAATAAACGAAAATATCCCTCTCAGCGCCATCCATGTGTAACTGGCAAAAGCGTGAAAGAACGACCCGCAAATAAACCATAGACGAGTGCCATAGTGCCGTTTATCGATTGCGCTTGTCCGGTGCCATATTCCTTGTTCCAAACGTGGCGTTTATTGCGCAAAATCGAATCATCAGCGTTTCGCCATTTTTGTTGACCATTCGACAGTTTTCACGAAAACAATTACAAGACAGTTCGCACGGTAAAACTGGTCACTTTTTACTCGAGTATCAATCCATCTCAATTCAATAATACAGAGTTACCATTAGAGTTTCAGAAAGGATAATAGAATTTGTCGTTTACCGTTTTTCATTCTCTATTTTCTATCGCTTTATATACACACATATATATATGTATGTATGTATATGTATATATATGATCGTAGTTTGGACGTTCCTGTGAATTTTACAATAGAATCGTAAGGCAAACGTGAGTATTACTATTTCATTCACTTGAAAGATTACTCTGTTCGATGTTTTTATTTTGCAGTTTTCACTTTTCAGTTTATATATACTTTATTCTGTATATTCATTTTCTTGCAATTTATTCTATGTTTCTAGAATTGTCGTGGAAAATAAAAAAAGAAAGAAAGGAGGTCCTTACCTTTTCATTTCTATAGAACGTTTCTCTTTTCACGTTTAGTGGAAGTATATATAGGTCCATAGGTAGTAGGAAGTGACAAGGTGAGAGTAAAAATCACGACGCGCGTTGATCATTCGTATTTTCCGCGGCGAATTAAATAAAATCTTCGAGTTGAATCTGCCTTCTCTAAACCTCGATATTGGCACCCGGTAGGCAAGTAAACCTTCGACGAGCACTTCCAGCCAATTTGCTCTCGCATTTCTCCGTGATTGTGAGAAGGACAGTGTCGGGAAAATTCTGCAAAGCAATAAGTTGTACAAATACGTTACATTGAGAAAAAAAAAATGCATTTTTATCTTACAATTTTTGTGAAATCCCAATTCATCAATAATTGATTGACGAAACTTGAAATTAGACGATGCCTGCGTACGAAACGGTATAATTGAAAAAAAAAAAACACGACGCAAAGTGCTGGCACGCGCGAGGTTCTACAGAACTTGCTGTCCATTTCTCTGTCCTGTACTATTTTTGGCGCCGTGCATAGGCAGACGGAGACGTTTAGACGAATTCGTGGTAATAGAAAGCCAGACAGGCAGATGCAATTGCGTAAATCGTTATGCCGATGTATCACTTGAGATTGATGACCGCGGAAGCCTTCGATTGAAGAAACGCTTAGTCCAAACTTGGGGGACTTGGACGCGTCCTTTTGGGGGTCCCCTTGGGGGGGGGGGGAATTGTAGTTTCGTGCACGATTGGAAAAGGAGTTTTCCCCACCTGCTCGAACGTTTTATTCACATAAGATAAAATGAAAGTTGGTAGCAAATTAGTATTGTTCGACGAGCGGCAAAAGAAAATTTTTGATAAATCTTTTAAAAATGTAAAATGATAAATTAATTTAGTAATTATTACGTCGATTAACACAACGACAAAGATAATATTATAATGATAATTTATTGAAATTAGATTACATATGTATACGTGGAAGAAGAAGAATGTTTCGACTGGTACTTTTTTTTAAGTAACAATACTAATCATTTTTTATAGCTCAGTGTCAAGAAAAATGATTCGTTAAAAAATTTACAGCGCTTACTACGTTAAGGAGAATAAGAAACGAACTAGCAAGATGCCACAACGTATGAAAAGTAGCGCGTCCAACAAAAACAAAACGGAGGTCAAGGAAGAAGCTTCAACGTCATCTGTTCTTGCTGGCAATTCTGGCGATGATGACCCGAACGTAGCCGAAGTATGAAACAAAAGAACTTAAAAACCATTTAATATTCAATTACCAGTTTCATTAATTAGAATCAAATTCTCGAAATAATTACTTATACAAATGACAGTTATTTGGTCAACGCAACACGAAAAATCAAAATATTGCCGAACATTTAATAAAATTGTTCCACACTTGCATCAAATTTTCATTTTTAATTCGTGGAATATTAAATCCAAATTTCCGTGAAATTTCATCTACATTTTAAATATCAAATCACACTTATCCTTAAACTTGAAAAGTTACTTAACAGTTGTCCTTAAACTTAAAAAACTGCAAAATGGTACCTTTCATACAACTACTATAAAAATATGCTATTGGAAGATAAAGATATGCACAAACATTTTTTAGTGTTGAATACAATTAATTTATGTAACGTTATAATACAGTACAATGACAATATAGAGTCATTATATTATATTATAACGTTACAAAAATCAATTGAATTAATGTAATAATATAATGTAATGTATATAATACAAGTAATAATATACAAGCAAAGTATATTATACAAGTAATGCAATAATATGATATAATGTGTAATATATTCATTGTACTATATTATAACATTACATAAATCAATTGTATTCAATTAATGTAATAATATAATGTATAATACAAGCAATGTAATAATATAATATAATGTATACTATAGTCACTGTACTATATTACAACATTACATAAATCAACTGAATACAATTAATTTATGTAACGTTATAATATAGTACAATGACAATACAGAGTCATTATATTATATTACGTTACATAAATCAACTGAATACAATTAATGTAATAATAAGATAATGCAATGTATAATACAAGTAATGTACTAATATAATAGAATGTATAATAGTCACTGTACTATATTATAACGTTATATAAATCAACTGTATAACACAATTAATTTATGTAACGTTATAATATAGTACAGTGACAATACAGAGTCATTATGCTACATTATAACGTTACATACAATTAGGAATTAATTAATTAAAAATGCGTACCGAACTCTACAGGTTGTGCTGTCGAATAAAGGCGGGCCAAAATTAATTCACCACGGTTACATGTACACGTTGCACAAGAAGCAACCGTATAATATCCGATGGAGATGCGTCCGCCGAACTATGTATTGTAGAGGCAGTATTATCACTACCACGAGTTGCACGAAGCCGAGAGTGCGTATGGAGCACAACCATAAGCCAGATTTTGCAGCCGCTCAGGTTGCTAGGAAACGTTACTTGGCTCTTGGCAAACCTAGCGTGTTAACAAGTAGGTTCACCAACTTTCACACTGATTGGATTCCTGCTTGAACATTTAAAAAGATGTTCTCCCGTAATTTATAATAAGTGTATGGAGATCGAAATTTTCTGTGTTTCATAGACGTAGAAGGAAATACTGTGAAGTCTATGAACGTGTCACAACGAATGCTTCACAAGGAGAATGACATACCGGAGGAGCAGAAAGATAGGAAACCGAAAACGCGAGCTACAGCTAGAAAGAGTAAGTATTTCGCAAGCTTTTATGCATTTAATAATTGGAACATTGGAGTATATTATGTTTTGAATAGAATTTAGTATAATTTATACTGAAATATATTTATTTCTTTTTCTATATATATTGTTGTATATTAAATTTTCTTTTTAACATATCATCGTATACTAAATAGATTAAGACATCAATAAAATTCATTAAATGATTCTCCAAAAGCATGACAGAGAATTCAGTAAAGTAATTAGAGATTCATATCTTTTGACACCTATTTGAAATCGTTGCAACTTGCAATTAGGAATGAATTGAAATGTTATAATGAACGCAATTCCTACCTGATTAATTTATTAATAATTAATTTTTCAGTATAAAAGGAAAATTAAATGTATGCTATTCACATTCAATTATCTAGTGTATCAATCATCATGTAAATATTAATTAATTATAAGCAAGAATATAAAATCCAAGTTTTAATTTGCATTACAACTACATCCAGTAATTACGTTCAAAGTACATGAATTCATTTCTTCAAGTTAAGATAAATGCCTAGCATAATTGCCTTATGTTTACTATGTAAATCCATAGTGAACGAAAGAACGTTTAGAGACTGACTATTCTAAAAGATTGTTCACTTATATAGACACTAAAACTTACGCAACTACTATAGATCTTATAAATTATTAATATTTATTACATTATTATGTGCATACAGATATTAAATGACTATCAAATTCAATCTTCTTCTTACTCTATATGTAAATAATATAGAATTAGTCACTGTGTTTATAGAAATGATAGTTTCCAACATGTAATTGTAAAGATTTGTAAAATATGTAATCATTTCATTGTTTTTTCAATCATTGCAAGCAATAATTCATTTGGGCATTATTTTTCTTTTTCTTCTGACTGGAAATTAATATCAACTACAAAGTTGCTATAAATATTATTTGCAATATTGTACTGATTTATATGGTAATTTGATTTTTTTATTAAATATTTGAAAAGATTTATTTATGACTTCTTTATTTATTTTCGTAGAACAAAGTAATTTGTTCTACGTTGAGAAAATATTTTTCGAAATAATATTGGACAGTGTAAGATGATAAAGTCTCAATTAAACGTAATAAGTAAAATCAATTGTAGGCGACAAATGTCGCCAGTGTGTTCTCTTAACTTTTGTATTTTTATAGTCAGATCAGTGAAAATCTGCCGAATTGAAAGTAACAATACATGTATATTATATACATGTAACAAGTGTTTATGTTACTTGTAAAATAACGAGACTTCTCAGTAATAAATGAAGAAAAAAATTTTTCTGGTTCACATTTAACATTTGCAATGTATAACACAAATGAGTTTTATGCAATAGATATATGTAAACGAAGGATATTTATTTATTTTATGTATTTAAATTATAATTTCTCGATTCTTTATTTTTTTGAGTGAGTCAGTCCTCGTAGTAAAGACGCAGATATATCAATGGCACATTGATTACTATCGATAACTTTCGCCATCAGGTACTTTCAATGTCTTTTTGTTATTACCTATAATTTTTATATTTTTGTTTTCTAATTTGTTTCGAATCCAAAACCTACAAATATTAACAAATATAGTAGCGTAACGGATAAATCTTACGTCAGGATTATTGTACTAAAAGCTTAATTAGCAATACTCTCGATTGCTAGTCGTATCATAGGATTCGGCGAAAAAAAGAAAAGAAAGAAATTTGTAGAATCTAAATCATCGAAAATAATCGATGACTAATCGAAGATCGTGATGGTCGACGATTTCCTCAGCAATACCGTACGTTTTCTAAGAAGGCGAAACGAACACGATAAGAGATGCATTTCAATTTGCGTGTACAGTGTGATGCCAAAATGGCGGGCATCTTGAAGATGCGCGCGAGAAAAAGAGAAGCGTGGTAAACGGCTCCCGATCGATGAGAATTCGCTCGGTCGAGGCTCGAGTGAGTCGAACGTGATCAGGTCGGTTAGTAATTCCTTAGTGAAGAGAGACCCGGGAACGCGCACACGATAGCAACACGAAACACGGTACGGATAATATGCGTCGACGACCGGCGGCGCCGTCGCACATGCGCGCCCTGACGCGCCCCTGTTCGTCCACCGATTTCGATTTTAGTCACTCCCGGGTTCGGCTTCAGGGAAAATCGTTCCGTTCTCGTAGCGAGCCACGCTGTCCAGACGCGTCGCGAGAAAAAAAAAAAAGAGATTGGCACGTAATTCAATAACAATTCTTTGGTTCATTGAATAGAGAGATATAAACGCGTCCTCGCACGACTCACACGGTCTCTGATATTCGACAATTTTTTTTCCTTCTTATTCGTGACAAGACATATATCTGCACGTCTTCGACGTATACGACAAGAGAGGAGGAACAAGCGAAGGAGATTTTTGGCGATTATTTCCTTGTGTCGCCATTTATTCTCGCCTCGTAGACGATCATATTCCGATACCGGTTTAATCGTCAGGCATTTACACGGGTCAGCGAGATTAGACACGCCGAGAATAACGCGATAGGAGACCAGTGTTGATCTTTGGTAAGAATCTGATCGGTCAGAGAAGTATAGAGAAAGAGAGAGAAAGAGCGCGCGCGAGGGAGGGAGAGGAAGAAAGAGCGAGCGAGCGAGAGAGGGAGAGAAAGCGAGACGGAGCAAAATTTCGGACAAGAAATCGAGCGATTCGTTCGTGTAGTTTAGAATATCCACTCCTGGGAATATCGTCGACGAGGGTCGATAAATTGTCGCGTGGCCGTCATCGGTACAACGGTTTTCTGATGCG